CTGCCAGCACTATAATATCAGAGCTGCGGCTCAACCGAATCAGTTCGGCGAGTTTATCGCAAAATTCGTCCTTTTATGAAGCGGGACTGTAGTTGGTTGGTGCATACACGGAAATTATGAACATACACCTTTTGGTGTTGCTACCGTTCCGAACACTAACTGATCCCTGTAGCCTCATTGTGCACAGACGGGTATCCGATCTATCATAGAGGCTTCAGCTTTATCGTTTAGTACGATACCTACACCACGCTGACCCAGTGAGTGGGCTGCATCATCTCCTGATGTGCGAACGAAATACCTCGAGGACAGACCCGGCGCACTCAGGTGGCTTACAATACTAGGATCCTGAATTCGTGTCTCCGATACGCAACAGACATCGATTTCTAGAGACTGTATTGTACGCGCAAGACAAGCCTGTTCGCCCACCTGCATAAGAGTCCTCACGTTAAAAGCTCCCAGATTGAGAGGTTGACGAGGCTTCAGAATCTGCACTTGATTTCCAGGAAAACTAGTTACAGTGCTGTTTGACAAAGACCGTTGGCGAGTGACGATCAAGTTGTCTGAGGGAATATCACGGTTTGGAAGAAGGGGTAAAGGGATAGAGTTGGATACGGAAGACAAAGAGTCAAACAAAGGTTGGGATATCTCTGTACCGTAGAGCAGGATTGGTCTAGCTGCTGTAGCATGTGCTCAACGCTTTACAGACATGAGGGTATGAAAACTCGAACGAGGAAACTTGTTCATACAGATCGCGTTAGGCTTCTTGGATAGGAATTCCAGGATCAATGTGCGTGATGGTTAGACACTGAATTATTTGGTTGCTTATCGTAAATAGTGGAAGCGATTAGCCCGAGGAGTAAGTCATTCAATCTTCAGACACTAAGACATTTGGCGGCTTTTAGTCGGTGAATAAGTAGGGAATAAAAAACGTACCTCATGAGAACGTCATATTACTCCTAGCAAAAGCAAAAATTAGCAGTCTACTTGTTTAGATGAGGCCGTGGGACCCGAACACAGTTCTACAAGCTAGTGAAACAGAACCGCTGATTTTGACCTGATCACCATCTCGTATGTCAATTTCGTTAGAATGAAATGCTATCCGAACAAGCACATCCATAACTTGACTCAACATACAGTTGCATCATAGAAGTCGTAAAAGCTGTTTTTAAATATGCAAACAAAATTGGCTCACCATGATCTTGAACAAACTGTCCGGAGCTCCGTGAAAATACCTCTCATACCGTGCCATGAGTTCAAAATATTGCAGTTGCAGTGCCCAATGAGGAAAGTGAGAAAATGAATCGGAGCACAGCATGTCCATAATAGACACCATGGCTGACCGCAGATAAAACTGAGGAGCGAAATGGTCGTTTTTTGGAGCCTAAAATGAATTGTGAAAAATTGGGCTATACTGCGTGGAACGATAGGCAACAACTGGAAACAAAAATGTGACGAGTAAAATCAATTCGTATCAAGATACATTAGTTGATAGCTCACGAGCTATTAAATTGCGTCCATAAGATTGACACAAACATGCAAGTCAAACGGTGCAATCATAACCTATACCCCATTATACATATTTGTGTGATGGATAGCGGAAAAATCCCTTTTGTCCGGTTGCTAGAACTGGCGACCTCAATCCTGGGACATAGAGTGGCGAATGACACGGAGTCCCAAAAGGTGTAATATTGAGCCAGACCACTGTGAGGCTGCCTATTAACAAAGTAGGGTGTTGGTGGCAGGTTTTGAGCTTCGTGCGTTTGAGCTCAAACACAATAGTGAGAGCGACCTCAATCACCATGTAACATTAGCATAATTATGAAGGTAGTTAGAAACTTAAGAGTATCGTTTTTGGATTAGATAGATGGAATGGATAGGTGGAAACGTTTGATAAAGACTTTGTTGTAGAGACAGTGGAAGGGTGGCTGGAAGGGTGGGTTTCCTCCTATTATTTGAGTCCGGTGATAAAAACATCTTGTTATTCTTAACGAGGTATGCACCGAAAACGCATCTAACCCCTTAAATGGATTGTAAAACATATACGACTGAATGAAAGACTAAATTTAACAGTACGCTTTAAAGATAAACGCTAAATCAGAGATTAATGTTTCCGATGGAGCCTAAAGTCGTTTCGAATCAAGGAAAACAAAATGTGTCCGTGTCAAAAAATCCATCAGAGATTGATCCACGTCTCGTCGTAGGCAGTTTCAATATTGTCCAGCTCAATGTCACGTCCAGCCCAGCGGGGCCTTGTGGTTCGCCACTCCAAGTCACGGGGCTTAGATTACAGGTCCCAATGAATGAACAGCAGTTCTGTTCATCATGCGAGATTGTGATTAAGAAACAGGTCAGAACTTAGCCCGATTCTCAAGCACCCAATGTTTACGTGCGTCCTACAACCGGCGACAAATGACGTTAGTTCAGTGTTGACCGGACCGAATCAAGCCAGAAGAGATTTTAAACAAGGATGAATTTCCACCGCCATATCAACAAGGATAGAGACAGTAACGTCGTGATAGCGAATGAATTTCTATGTTTCGTGAGATCAACCATTGAACAGATGATTAAAATATGGACAAAAATGATACTACATAAAAATTTGGCAGCACGTAACATAAGTACAAATCGAAGTCTCTTCATTTAATGTTGTTTTGCTACTAGATCTGCAATAGGCAATGAAATGAGCTTGCAGGAAAGGACATCCGATCACCGAATAGGGAAAAGTGTAACCTAGAAATCATAAGTGTTTGTCGTAAGACAAGAGAAACCCTAGAAGGAAAGACTAGTGGGGAAAATGTTCGCAGTCCCGAACTTGAAAACAATCTGTGATCCAGGGGGGCTATAAGGTATTCGTGGGCAGAACCTAGCTGAAAACGTAGGCATCGATTGTGGAGTTAGAAAGAAAGTGACGCAAAAGAACCGATAAAGGAGTAGTTTTGATTATCATCGAAACAAATGAAGCGAATTATGACAACACATACAGCTCGATCAAACACAAAGCAAGGGAGAAAAAGTCCGTTCGTTCGGACTATCTCCAAGTGGGAACGGATAGCCGAAACCGATGAAGAGATTGAATTGCAGAATATTAATTCTTAGTGGCAATGAAATTATTAGCATGTGAAAATCCTCCATGTGTAATTCATTTGTGGTGTGCAATGAGAAATCCATTATGAAAAATTATCCTTTTGTGACTGTCATCCGAGAATCCATCGTGCAGTGGTGTGATAACGGATTCACATTAATCGGTACGTGTTCATTAATGTTAACAGGACGTATGAATTTTATTTATCAGAAAACTAAATTTGAGTCTTAATTAAGGAAGATGAAACGTTCTTGCGATCATCTGCCATGTTAGCCAACAAATCTGGCTTATTCATATCCATGCTTTACATAAACGCGGAAGCTACTAACGTGCAACTTCATCTGCGTCGTCGAATAGTCAAATGAACTACCATAAAAATCAAAACGGAGCGTGTAAACAATTTCAGAGCGCCTTTCAAGCAGGAAGAACAAGTCAATAAATAAACACCTTGCATGATTCCCCGAATAGATAGAATAACGAGAGAGCGACATCGATATCACTCAGACCGTCTACTCCAATAGCGAAAGAATTTTGATTGGCGTTAGCCGAGCTGTTTAACCACTGCGCCGCATGTTTGATCAACTGGTTGATTGCTTCTAGCACACACCCGGCATCCAACTGGATCAGATTGGTTATCAAGGTGCGAAGATCGTGGCGGTAGTCTAACGAATCCTCCTGCAAAGACGGTAGGAAAGGGTAATCCAAAATCGGTTTATTATTAGTCAAGAGTCATAAGATTTTTGTCGAATTAAAGAAACGCTTTAGAAGCATCGAACAAATGATCGTGATAACGGCTAGGAAGGTAATCCCACAGGACACAAGCCAATCGAATTTCGGGAAAGCATGAGAGACGGTACGCGATATAGTTGACGTCGGTCAATGTTATTCACATCAAATCCTTAAACAAGGGTAGATTACCATAGATTGAATGCGATACTGTACCGCACGACAGACCTAGTAACGATTTTCACAACGATAAGGGCTCGAGAAACAATAGAAACGAACTGATGGATCATAACGACTTGAACCACCCAACAAGCACTGTGACTACCACAGCGAAAAATACCGAGAAATACACTGACATTCGGCACCAAAATATAGGAACCCCTAGAACGCCTGTCAAGTCTCATTCGATGAGTTTTGCGATACGAACACAAAAGCAATGATCATCAACTTAATTTTAAATTAAACGGAGATAAAAACGCTTACGCAGGTGAAAAAAATGGGCATGTACCTCATCCGTATTATCTGTATCCTGAAGAGGAAGAGTTTTCATTTTAGCGATCACTGCAAACAGTAACCGCTTCAAAAGAAACAACCTTGATGGATTAAGTTCCACGAGTCCAGATGACTGAACTGGCACATTTCCGACAGCATTTGCACTCGAAAACGAAGAGTCCATTGAAGTTGAACTATTTCTGTTGCGCGAACGCCGCCTAGGCTGACCGGAGACGGCACAATTGTTAGAAGTCCCAGTGCCTTTCACCAATGCAACGTAACTGCGCAAAAAAGGAACTACCGTTTGGCTGACTTGCTCATCCTCGTGACCAAATAGGTGCAGGGCAAGATTTAATTTGTCTTCTATTCTCTGCAACGTTGATGCACGTAAGGAGCTGATTTCATCCGGTGTTCCGCCTCCACCATTGACGACATCGCCGTCAGCTGACAAACAATGAAGACTTCTGCCAAGAGAAACAAATACAGATCAAATTGAGTATCCCAGAAAAACAACTGAATGGTGATATTAGAATGGGCAATAAGAAAACATCGCGGTGAAGTTTAAAACTCACCTATAGGCTTCAATCAACTGCTGTCCACATGACTCCAGTAAAGCTGAAAAAGTTTGCAAGCTTGACAATGCCCCGTCATCTGGATTCACAGTTTCCGCTGACTCAGATTGAAACAGCTGTGCCACGAGTGGATCGGCAAGAAGTAATTGTCCAAGCTGATCCCATATTCCATTGATTAAATTGATTTTGTCCACGGCCGGCATGCCTTTGTTCACCAGTCCCATTAGGTGGCTATAGACACCACATCGAACAGGCGCCCCAACGCTGTATTCGTTTATTGATGCACGGAGCAGATCGGCTAGTAAGCCTATCCACTCTGCACTCCCCACGAGATGCAAGTCAACCCACGAAGCCATCAAACCGACAGTGACCAAAAGCTTTTTCAGATGACTGGCATGAGGTAGTTGTGGACCGTATAGCAAATGCTTTAAAAGAACGTTAATTTTTCAGCGGCATTAGTATGCAATGGCTATCAATGAACAGTGCCAATGAACTTGATGTGAACAGTAGATCGCATGTAAAAATTATTTACTCTAGACCCTTTTTCAAGACCACGATCTATTCCACTGATCATCCTTCACATTCCATGGTAACCTATGATCCCGTTTATTTTTTCAACCACACGTTCCAGATAGCTAAATGAATATGAAATAGCCGCCCGTCGGAATACTGCCTGAGATTTATCCCCCTATACCCCCATGAGTCTGTCAGCACGCAAGTGCCTCTCTACTTGAGAAATGGTTATATAATTGGTATAGCTGTTTTTCTAAGAATCGAGGTGAGTTGGATAATAACTAACTTACGCTAATCCAAACTGAACTAGCGGATTCGACACAAGCATTACTTCCATTGTGAGTCAGTCACTGCCCAGTTACGGAAACCATCAACGTGAACCATAAGAAATGGAGTAGACAACACTCGAAATAGACGTATCATCGAGCCGGGCAAAGTTCTCAAATGCATAAGTGAGATAATGCGGAACTTGGACGTTGGAACTTATAAAAAGTTTTTTTTAATCCAAAATATCTAGGTTATTCACAATGGTCGATTAGCGAGGTTAGGTACATCATGTAAGGACGGCCGAACCTTGCAACACTGTCGCAACTTACAATGAGATGATAGCAGGAGTTTATTAGGGCGGTTATCGACGTTTCGCGAATATAATCTTTTATTTCATTTGCTCGAAGGAGTTCCTCCGTCGTAAGCTGAACGTCTCTGGAGACCAGGAATGGGTCCAGATTAATTAAAGTATCCAGAAAAATATCGATGGTGCTCGTAAAGGAAGCCGTGACACAAGATCCCACATTTGCATCTTTCCCTGAAAAAGAAAGAATAATGGAAGAACATGCATTTGGAAACAACATAAACTCCAGTAGCTGAATACGATTTTGCAGCAATCGTTGGTGTTCCAGTACGAAAGCGCATGGTTAATGGTTGTAAGAACTGCACTGAACTTATGGCAACCACAGAAAATACCGTGCTTAAAATTTCCCCATCAGTTAGAACACGTCACTATAAAACGTCAATACGACAGTTTCCGTTTCAGTTAGTACAACCACTAAACACGCACTTTCGTGAGCCGCTTTTGGTTGCTGCCTTGTGACTGCCTATCTGAAGGAACAGTAGGAGAAAGACAAGAAAGTTGGAGGTGGACTAAGGTTGCAAGGAAACTGAGATGCACGAACACCATTGTTTACGACAGTGAACAATGAAAAATGACCATTGTGATATATATACCGACTTGCGAACCACTGACCAACGCAACATTCATAATAAGAGGGAATACGTGCTCAAAAAAGAAACGGAGAAAAAAATGGAGTAAAAAACTGACCCAGACATTCTGTAAATCTCGACTAATAAACGTGAAAAGTTACAAAGAATCAACCGTACTTACCAGGTCGCTCCGCCATAAGGGATAACAACTCATGAAAAGCTGTGGGCCAGTGTTTCGGATAGAACCGAACGATACCAAGACAAATGATTTGGCTAGCTTTCACAGTTATATACTTTTGGTATTGAGGTTCTCTGGCTTCCGTGAGTTGCCGCACCCATTTCCAAACAAATGTAGAAAAAAGCTGAGCCTCACTCGGCTGAACGTTTATTCTGGTGGATACTATGACTAAATTACACATATGCTTACCCTGATTTCAAAAACTCTTCTATCACTCGGCAGCACAAGAAAGCAATTGCTGACCTCTGCTCATCTGGAATAGTGCTCAGATTCGGTACCATAGAATTATCGCCAGTAAGCACAGAGGCGCAAAGTTGCCAACCATCGGAGGAATTCAGAGCGCCGACCAGATCGACCAGGCGCTTTTGATCTTCAATATTTTTACTTTGCTGCAGCTTGTGAACATTAAACAGACCATCGAGATCAAAATCCATTTCTCTATGTACTGAACACTAGAGGTTATACGGTTTCAAACAACCTGCACCGCACAGAAACCATGCGACGAACGAAGTACCACGCTCAGAGTGTCCTTGGCGGGCGCACAAAGTCAAGGTAACTACCGTTAGCACATATAAACGCCGATCAGGTCAAGTCAAATCAGGTCACAGGACTTTAGGCTTTGGTCAGTGGACGTCTTGCATTTCTGAGATGGTGATCCCCACTGTGTTGCGACTGCCAGGTAGATCCACAGTTGTGATGGGTGTTGTACCTACAAGGGAAGAGATGAAGAGCAGGATCGCCCTCGGAGTAACAGCAGTCTCAATCATTTGACAGGTGCCGCACCTCAGCGGACTGCTACTCCTGCCATGACAGCTGCCCGTGGGCTGATAACAGAAAAAACAATTTTTGTGTTAATTGTGCGTGAGGTGCGTGATATTAGAAATACGCAACGGCTACAAAAAGAGGATGTGGGTAGTTATTGANCCTCGTCTCAGCAGTTATCTAGTCTCCGCTTGAATTGCAGAACACAGATGCTGCTACTACTGTCGGTGGAAGTTTGTTCCATGCATTTACCACGCGGAGGCAGAAAAACGGTGCCCTGGCACTTCCGTTGGCCCGTAGTTTCATCAGCTTCAGGTCATGCCCTCTGAGAGTTGGATTGAGGTTTCGTGTAAACAAGGATCTATCTGTTAATGACGGTAGTGGCGTGGAATCCCGAATATTAGGATTTCTAAAAACAACCTATTTTTAAATGTATTTTAGAAAAAGCGATGTCGAAT